ACATTCCTCATAAGCGATTAGGATGAGAGGTACTTACTGGTGAACTATTGACGAAAATGATGAATTGTTCTGAAAATGCGCGCTGTACGGCAGTCCGCAATGTGTTAAAAGTACCGTAATCCTATTTATCCTGACTATTCTACTGAAAAATCCGCTGAAATTACATCTAGAAAGTAGAGATTTAGTGCTTGGATTATGAATATGGCATTCATAACTAGCAGCATGTTGACACCATAGCTTGCTTTTCACCAAATTTCTAAGCACACCCTTTTTTCCACAAAATTTCTAGTCATATTTCTTACAGAGTCTATTCAGCGCCATTTTGACGCCAAGTGGCATTGGATTTAAGAATAAATATTAGATTCGTGACCGTTGCCAAGACAATATCCAGAAAAAAAATTGTTTTGACTTTTCGGGGTTGCAGTCATTGCATGGTTCTCATGACTTTCTTCGGGAGACGTGATATTTTATTGTCATGTTAACCATTCCATTTATTACCATATAAACAGATAGCTAGTAACGATGTGATGAAGTTCTCGAATGAATCCGATACAGAGCTTATCACGTCCTGCTCCGTAAACACCGAAGAGGGTTGTTTCTGTTTCCCCAACAAGAGAGGTTTTCCCTCCGTTGAAGTTGCGGTAGAAGTCCAGAACGGGCCCGGATTATCGTCAACGTCTCGATGATCTAGACGTTAACTGTAAAGTGAAGTTCGATTATCCCTGGTCCTAATTCGCTAACAAAGAGATCAAGTCACTGCAACCCCAAAATTTCTTCAGCGACAATCATAGTTGGAATTTTATCTGTGAAACTAATTGATGGCATTAGCACGCTTTTGACATTTATTTTTGGCAATAGCATGACTTGGCGCCAGTATGTATGACAGCTGATAGCTTCTGCAAGTTGATTACGAATCTGGATGGCGCCAGTAATCAGCGCCGGTCTCGTTGATCTATTGAGGTACGGTACTTTATCAATCTGCTCGAGGATTTAGTATGGACAGTTACTGGACTTTGGGGCTCCTCTACTAGTTCCCAAATGCTAGGTGACTTACCAGAAAAGAAAGTTGTGTACATTGCCGTTGAACAGGGGGCTAATGTTGTGAAATACCAACATGATCGTATTTGGCCGCTGGAGGGGTTGTATTTGGTTTGGAAAAGTTGTGCTGGTTGTTCGTTCTTCCCGTTTCAAGGCATCACATTTTCCCTCCGCTTCCTCCCTCCATTTGTCGCCTCCACATCGCTCGACAGCAAAATCTGAAGATATCCTGTAGGTATCTTCAGATCAGAAGTCGGTTGTTAGAGAGGGATCCCATTTAGCAGAAACTGTCCCAGCACCAAACGTGCTCTGTCGTCGAACACGTCCCAAATATGGCCTCAAGATTTCCAAGAAACAAGACACTGCTACATGGGCGAGGGGCCAGAGACAATTATGAGAGAACAGGAAGAACATGAAGACATAGTTCACCTGTATTTATGGATGTAATACCGTTGGCATATCTCATCCACATCTTTACGGGCGACCTCAGCGCTCCCTTCATTTGGTGTGGAGCCTTGGAAGGAGCGCAACGGCTAAGATTGCGGTCCGGACTATTTCTACATGGAAAGGAATCCCCTGGGTAATCGGGTAATTATGTCTGCGAGGAATAAATCCATCACTATTACAGTGTCGACTTGTTGGGGGTCATATATGGTGAGCCATACTGACGAGGAGGACCCTGAATGCCCCCCCCTATGGATAGAATTTCAGTGGAAAGGTCTTCTCGACATTCTGGGGTTTTGAAGTAGTAAGTGCTGAAGCACAGAAGACTAAAGGAGTTAGGGATATGCATAGGCATATGCATATATCCATTCCAAAGCACATGCATTCGTCATTACCGAAATCAGTTGGTGCGTGTCAATGTGGCGTGGGTTTTGGCGCGGTGCTAGCACCACCAATTGACCACCCGAAGAATGAACTACCGCTGGAAACCGGGACGGCGCCGTACCGAAACGGCACAGTTCGGCGACAGGAGGGGCATTGTACACGTTTGCTACTTCCCATCGACTATGAACCCATCTAGACAGCCTCTTCCCGAGTTGACAGGTTTCACCATGATGGCTTGGAGAGCTTGCTCCACGTTAAAAAGAGCTCACCTGTTTCACAAGACTGAGACTTGTAAACGAGAACTAGTGACTACCCACCTGTCGCCGAATGTGCCCACCCTTACGCAGCTCCGACACGCCCCTATGATTTCAGTGATAACGACTGCATGACGGTCATGAAAAAAAAATTGCTCAGTAGATAACGACTGCATGAACATGAAAAAATAAATTTGCTAGGATTCAGCTTGTTCCTGCGCGTTGCGAACTGCTTTTTAGCAGCTCTCCAGTTATTACCTGCACGAGTGCGTAGGAATCATTTGTTACTTAATGGATTAACTATTGTTTTGGAGGAGTGGTGAAGGGGGCGCATTGTTGGTGTTAAGAAATAATTTCAAAACTTTACTGCTTACAGAACCCCATACTCGAACAACGCTCAGTCATCATCAAATTGGTCTATATACCATGGTACTTGTTGTGTGGAGCTTGGATTTTTCTGAGGAGAATCACGAGGTAGGATACTCTATTATTCTATACTGAAGTTATGTTTCTGACTGATCTATTATGGGTTTCTGATAGGGGAAGGGATGGATGGTAAAAATACCACTGCATAGCCGCACTGAAAGCAGAAACCACTGGGGGCAGGGAGAAGGGGGGTACAGGGGGTACAATGAGGCACGACTATGCCGCGTCGTCTTAGTGAAACTGTGAAGGTGAAACTGGTATGTACATCAATTCTAGAGCCCTGTGAAAGTGGAGATGACGTATTCATATATCAATATTAACTTCGAAACGAAGTGAGAGGACATAAGCTGCTTGTAGTCGTTTTCCTGCAGCAAGCACTGGAATGTGCCAGGCGGTTAGGTTGGCGCGGCGTTGTCCAATTTTTCACCAGTTGTTGCTTGCCTGCTCCACAACTGATGGTCAACGGACTACCGTCGCGCCAAACCCAGTTCTCTGACACGCCCGAAGTCTACAGCAAAAATGACTTTTGTGATTCCCTAGCGTCTCCTCCCCCCCCCTTCCCGAAGAGCCGTTGCCTTTGGCGCTATCAGGTGGATATAAAGGAGTACAGGGCCCAGCATCACTTGCTCACATGTGGGACTGTATAGCCACGTTTTTTCCCCTGATACTGATGTTATCTGATTGCAGATGTTTGGCTTTGGCAATTCGATTCATGCCGTTAGCAGTTACTTACCCATTGGCCAGTCGAGTACACTTTTTCCATGAATTCTGGTGGTCGTGTGTTCTTTATGCGATTCAGGTTAGTTTACTGATAATTTAACTGGTTAGCAGTACTCCTCTTACCGTTAGACTGTCGGTTGCGCAGGGGTAGTTGGAGGGGGTAGCGGCGTTACGACTGAAACTGAACATCTGCACTTTTTCACTTTAAGTAGTGATCCCTTCCTCTCGCTACGTTTAGCCTTAGAAGAGCGTATGCGACCGAAGTCCTCGTGACACGTCTCGCGAGGTGCTCCTCTCTCAGCTAATAAATCGCCGCCCTACTAACAATTTTTATTTTCTGTGCTCTAGGTCGATCAAAACGACCGTAATATTTTTAGAGCAGCGGTCCAACCTTCATAAAGTTGGGACAATGGGCAAGCACAAGACGAGACATTTTCAGTAAGGAGTTTCTGCGATCGAGTGAGTTTCAGAGTTGTCCCTATTGAGTTTTTTTTTTGAACTTTTCCTACTTTTTTGATAGGTTTCCCACGTTGCCGCCGGTTTTCCAAAATAGAACATTTGGCTGTAACTTTTTTTGAAGAAACGTGGCGCATCATCGCGATTAAGGAAATTTTCTGCGGCCCCATTTAGCACCTTACGAGAGTTCCCTACCAGGGCACATCATCAATTGGTGGTTTTGGTTGAGTCCGTCGACCCCCTTTTTTAAAGGTCGGTACAACAACCCCTGGTTCTCTCGCCCTCCAGCTCTCGAGCGGGGTATACAGTACACATGAAACAGGAAAAACCACGAAAGTCAGCAGCCTCTTTCAGAAGGCCAGAAGGGAAATACGATCCCCCCCCCTTCCCAATACCGAGCGAACTCGAGCTTCGCCTCCCCCTTTACAACTTCCTTGAAACAAACAAGAAAAATGAACCGTCAAGGAAATTTCCTACGCCCAAATACCACCCCTCTCCCAGCTCCAAATGCGACCTTCTGATGGGGAATCCTCAACAACGATGTACCTTGTTCCCCATGCTGGTGTGCTCTGCGGGAAGCAGGAGGATTCTCGTCGCTTTGGTTGTGCTAGGTGAAAAGAAAGAGTCAGAGTGCCACTAATATATGACAACTGAGTAAGCGGTTAGCTGGACTCAGGATACTTCCTGCCGCTAGTGGAAATTTTTGGAAAATTTGACTCTCCTCCTCCACCCCCTCCCCCTTCCTTTTCTCGTCCTGCTGCTACGATCCTAACTGATGTTCCGCCTACCTGCCATTGCCAGTTTTACGCGAATTTTTTGTATTGAGAACTGGCGGGTGGTGGGAGGGGTAGAATCCACACATTGCAACTTGACAACTAGTTTTTTTGAACTGATATTGAAATAACAACAGTAGTTTTATGTTTATATCAACTGATGAACTGGCATATAAACCTGCTTTCAAACCGTTCTGTCCTAGTAATTCCTGTGTTCAGATGTCAATATTTGCACCTTAGCTCGAGTTTAGTGGACACAGAGACGTAATCGGTATTTCCGTGATTGCGACAAAGTACTGGACGAGGTATTTGGAGAAGGATTTGCCAAGAATCATAAAAATGAGGTGTTTGTACGAATGGAACCGTATTCGATTGGTTCCGGCTGCATTGCTCAGGTTTGTTCTTCACTTCCTTCCTGTTCTCTCAGTTATTCAAAAGCATTATTGTTTTTCTGGAGAGGAAAGTCTCAGTGGATCCGCTGATGAGGTAGCGGGGGGGGGTAATTTCTCGTTGGTCCACCCTTCCTAGTGTAGCGGAAAGGGGCGCTGCCTGCCAATGGGGAAGGCGCGGCTGGTATGACTGTACTCTTCACACCACAGATCAACGAGGGTTAGGCTTCTGCCGGAGGATTTGTCAATCAATAAGATATTCGGGCTTCAAACCACTCTAAAAGGAGAAGTTGCTTCGAATTGCAAATGAGTTGCAAAAATGAGGCCAACCGTTCCCGCTCACGCTACGCCTGGCAGGACGGAGTTCCGCGACCTGGAGCAAGGCGCTTGCATCAATTACCTTTTCCAAGCGGAGGTTCCCGTTGTAGAGCCCTAATCAAGCCCACAACCTTAGCGTCCAAAAGCCGCCCAACCTCACCGACCACAAATGGACGAACGTTCTGACGCTGCTAACATTCATTTGCGGCAAGCCAGTTATGAAGCGAGGGACGGGATTGTATGAGCGGCCGTGATGCTGGCATTGGATATATGAGTAACATATGCAGCGTAGCTTCGTAGCCTACCTTTTTTATTGGCAAGATGCGTACGGGAAACTCGTCCGAAATCGATTTACAAGTCACTGAGAACGGAGGCTCTTTCTTCGCAGGATTTTGACCGTTTCACTCCGTTCTTTCGCCATTTCCCCACTATATAGCGCCTACTAGCATTTTAGGCCGAGCACCAAATCATCGTGCCAACTGCCTTTTATAATTTATGCTGGTCATTTTCGGAAGCGCCATCGTTATTACACGGAGAGAGAGGGTACTGCGGATATAGCGGGCATATGTCAGTGTGTCCACATACAAAGTAGGAACGAAAGCAGTGGTGCGTCATGGCATAGCAAAAGAGAAATGAAATTCATGTAGACGGGTGGGGGGGGGGGTGAGCGCTACGCAGAACTCGTACGCGAGCCTTGCTAATACAGGTTATGCATCCTAACCTTTGCGCGGAAAGCTGAAACATTCTGTAAAGAACTGTGAAGCTTCTATGATTAAATTTTCCTCCCATACCGCTTTCTGAGTGATTCCCTCATTGTTATGTTTAAGGTTTACAAGGCAACTGTGAATGTTCCGGCTTTGGAGCGAGTAACAGGAAAGAAATTCCCCCAGTTTGAAGGTCTTGAGGAAAGAGACGTTGCAATAAAGGTATGTTGAAAAATATGAGAAGAATTTATGTTGTACAACCAGTTGTCCTGTTTCGCGTTGATCATGCATTAGTTATCGATTTCACGCTTCGGAAAGAATGATGGTTAAGTGGACGCTCCCGCATCCTTTAGAGCTTTGAAAAATTCTTTCGTAAACTATTCTGAAAACAATGTTTCAGGTCGCAGAAATTGGTGTTGAAGAGCAGATCAACTTGGATTTGTCAATTTTAATACGGAATGCAACAAGCTTAGTATCGAAGGTATGGCAGTTCTTAGTTTACTTTTTTTTATTTATTGTTAGCTTTGATGGAAGAGCGGGGGTCGGCGCAGTTTGGCTCAAAGGGGCATCTCGCTTTTCCGCACGCAATTTTTCTGTGGCTAGTTCCTAGGACTATGTAGCAAGAGAACCATCATTAGCCCCCGCCAGTGGTGTACGACGTTGCCCCCGCCAACAGGTGGTATCGGTCGAGAATAGAAAATGTATGACCACAAATAGACATATGTTTCGACCACGTCTTTGTCTACATAAAAGCCCATGCTCCAGTTGAAGGGTAAGCGCACAACAAAAAGCGAGAAGGCAGGATAATACCTGCCGTATGTGCCCCATGGAGAACCCCTTGCTGAACCGCGCACGTCGTCAAGCCCATTGCCGCGAGCGATGGAGCGGCATTTTACGGTTTCTTGCCCGTCTTCCCCTACTTCCTGTTAAAATGATGTCAAGATAAGTCGAGAGAAAGGCATCGCCCGGTTGATTGAGCTACACTAAAAATGCTTTCCAACCAGGAGCCGCGCCTGTGGACTTTAAACTCTTTAAAAGGTTGAGATCCATCCAAGGAGTACCGCTGGGGATGAGGGGTGTCAGTAGACTCTTCTTCAAAACAAGCAGATCTCCTTTCACCGACCTCAAATATCCATGAGGGGTGGGGGAGGGGAAATGACAAATCGATCTACTCTCAGATAGAAGACTGCGAGGCCTCTTGACTTCTGGCTGGATGTGGGGCTTGAACGAATGTAAGTTGGAGTGCAGGCCAAGGTGGCCATTCCCCAAGCGAATATCCATGCCCGAGCGTGCTAACAACTGGATGGCAAAGCCTGGTCCTGTCTGCGCTGCAATCCACCTCCTTTCACGCGCCCTATCGTTTGCAGGGATCAGACTGCATGTGGAAGGAATTGGAGCGTCTAGAAGTTTCGAAAGCAAAGCATACTACGGAAGATGAAGTCTCAACAGCGATCAAATGCTATCTGATGGTGAATTCCGTTTGAATATTTGTTCCCAATCCTCTTCTCCCATGCTCTTGTCTACAGACCCGTAGGGGGATCAATATCCTTTGAATTCTGCAAACCCACTGCTCTATCTTACCCAGAAGTGTGGGCTTCCCATAGGGGATTCAGGTGGACAATACGTCTAGGAATATCCCATTTGGTTTTTTTTTGTGTTTTTTTTAAGCGTCTAAGTTTCAGTTGATCCTTCATGACTATTTGGAACCTTTATCCGGCTCTGGGCGCAGTTTGAGTTGGTTCTGCGTCGTCAAGTAGATCTCAGCAATGAGGCCCTAGCATTACAAGTAAGAGGAGTTCGAAACAAACCACTTGAGCTTGGGCAGTGGGAAACTCTTTGCCCGTAACAAGATTGCCTTTTTCGCCAGAAGTTTTCTGAGAATTTCGACCATAAGAAGACCGGCGTCAAATTCCCCACTGTTATTGGATACACAAAAAACACGATAGTAGAAACATTTGAGCATGGAATGTACATCAATCGGCTGGTAGCAGAAGACAAGGACCCAGAGGTAGGATAGCGGTCCACTTGTAACTAGAATTTTTGTAAAAAAATTATGTATTTTGCAGTTGGCCAATCGCCAATCGCCTGAAGTGCGCCGCCGGATTGCTTTACTAGGTGCACGTGCTCTTCTCAAAATGATATTTGTCGACAACTTTGTCCATGGCGATTTGCATCCTGGGAATATCTTGATACGGTAAGTCTCAACAGAAAATCTGTCATTTCTGGAACATTTGAAAGCATAGGCCCGATTGCTGTGGGTGGGCGATTGTCGCCATCGTTATTGGTGGAAGGGATGAGTGGGTGTAGCCAAACGCCTTTTCGCAGTCCTTTCACCAATAGCGTTTGTAACAACTGCCCGCCCACAGCAATCGTGCCTTCTACCTCCGATGGATGATCTATGAAAGGCGCGTACTTCGCTATAAGCATAAGTGTTTGTTGTTTCAGTTTCAACGAGGACAATGAGGCCTTACCAGGAGTGCACAAAGCGCCACCAAAGGAGAGTATAGTTGAACAGGCGGTATGTTAACCCTTCCATGGTTGTGTAAGGGATTGCCAAAGGGAAACAGCGCAGGCGTTTACATACGTAGGAAACTTGCGATTATTTCTCTGGCGCTGAAACCTTGTATTTGCCAGGGGTGGGCGTCGGAAAGAAGCCAGGACGCGTCGTACGTCGAAGATCCCCAACGAGGGGTCTCGTTCATAGCTGCTAGAGGAGGGTTTCAAGGGGGGGGGGGGTACCAGGGAGAGGATCCTGACAGGGTGTATTTTGCAATTTTTTCGCCAACGGCAGGACGCATCTTGGAGGTAGCGTATTGAAGGCACATTCCGCGGTAATAGTATAGGTGCAGGCAAAGAACTATCTCATTGGTGTAGCGCGCTCGTACCCTTCTCCTTGAAGGAGTGGCACAACGATGAGAAGGATGCAGTGCTACCCTGTCGTGGCCAATCTCCGCCTATTCGTTATCGTGAAATATACCTGATCTGATAGCGTCTACCACTGGCGGTCACCATCCTTGCAATTTTCCCCATGTGGGTAACATGGTTACTTGGCCAAGATCTACCGCCATCGATGTGGATCCTCGCTGCGAATGGGATGAGTGCGATCGTCGTTTGGGACTTTCAGAGTTCATTGAGATGTAATACCCAACGTAAAAGGGCAGCGTTCCATTTTTTCATGAGGAGCGGCTTGCCCTAGAAGCCATTGTCGGGGGCCGGATATGTATTCGAATCAGGGCACGTTTTAGGTCGGGGATCCCAGGGACGGGGGGGGGAGTGTTGACTCTGAAACTCAGTGAAACTGGAGGGATGTTGGGACAGTCCAAGGAGATGGTAGGTGAATGAGTGATATGGAAGAAGAAGGGTTCGTACCATAGGGGAAATTTTGGGGAAGGGATCGTCCCTTGAAAAGTGTTCGCCAATGGCAGGACGTGGCCCGATTCGAGTACACTAGTTTTCTTGAAAATGAATGCACAGTCTTTTTAGACCAACAGCACTCCCTAGCGCTGGCTACTTTACTTTTATCTTTTGTTTTACTATCTTTTATCAAGATGCAGCAGTTGTCCTGATCATTAATGTTCAGTTGGAACGAGTACGTGATTGGCTCGGGTGGAGATCATTGCCACGGATTCGATTTACTGATTCTCGAGAACTCGCTGATGAGCCTACACTGGTCATGCTCGACACTGGGATTGTTGTATGTGAAACGGAGAAAAATCTGCGAAATTTGAAAGCACTTTTCCGGGCGGTTATACAGAAACAGGTTTGTCTCGACTGCTCTCTTAAAGGCAGTTGGCACGATAAATCCCCAAGACGAGTAGGATTAATACGCCTGGCAGGACGGAATTCCGCGACCCTGAGCAGGCGCTGCCTTTTCCAAGGAAGGTGCCCTTATAAGGGCCCTATCAAGCCACAACATTCCGACCCAAACGCCCGCCACCCGCCCGCCCACAAATGGACGACCGTTCCTGACGCTCTAATCGATTCATTTGCTAAGCAAATTATGAAGCGAAGGGATTGGTATGAAGCGGCCGTGATGCTGCATGGATATATGAGTACACATATGCAGCCGTACCTTCGGTAGCGGTTATTGGCAAGATGCCTACAGGAAACTCGTCCAAAATTGATTTCTAACACATTGAGAACGGAGGCTCTTTCTTCGCAGGATTTTGACCGTTTCACTCCGTTCTTTCGCCATTTCCCAATAGCGCCCTAATAGCATTTTAGGCTGAGCACCAGATCATCGTGCCAACTGCCTTTGACTACTTCGATCTCACCTATGTGAATAAGGCTTGAGATCGCCAAAAAATTCTTTTTTGATTCAAAAGCCACTGAGTCATTCTGAAAGCAGTCGCTTATTCAGGGCTACAAAGCCGGCGAATTGCTTCTCAAGCATGCAGAAAATAGCCGTAATTGTCGCGACCCGCATGAGTTTTGTTTGCAAGTCGAACGTCTTGTGACAAGAGCAATGAAGGAACGTTCGTTGAGATCAGTGAGTGTTTTTTTCCTGTTTTCTTCTCTAATTCATACTCTTTTTAGAACTTTTTGACCCACCCAGGTCTATTCCTTGGTTATTTCCAAACCTAGATTACCTGGAATCCTGCTTCGTTCTCTGAAATGCCACTATTGAATCCTCAATTATTTTGTTCCCTTACAATCCTCTAACCAGTCTTTGCGATCTCTCCACCACTTTTGGGGCTACCACCAACCGGGTGGGCCACTCTCCATTTCTTCTCCCCGAAAAATGGTTCAGCATAGCTTATTCAACGGCACAGCTCACTGCCTCTGGCTATATCCCACCCCCCCTAGAACAGATAGACGTGTTCGAAAATGACCTATTTGTGGAGAATAGTGCTCCCCATGTCCGAGCACACAATAGGCGCTCACATTTCATTCTCCGAATGGCTTTTTATCGATATAATTGGCAATTTGCGGGACGTAGAGGATAGCTGAGAGGGGCCATCTCCGGAGTAGTCATAATGACACAGTTGCCTTTTTGTCTTGAGCCACGTGTTGATGCAAGCCGATAACTACGGAACCTGTTTTTTTTTTAGATCTTTTTCAACCCTTAGAATAAGTGGGTACACTCTAGTTCGCTGCGGACGGTTGGGCGTGTCAGCCAGTATGAGTGTGTCATCCACGTCAAACGCGTTCTCATACCTTTCTCGTTCGAACGCACATGACGACAAAAAAGTCGGTAGAAACGAGTAATACGAAGAGGATATAGCCATTGTCAACTTGCCCGCCACAACTTAGGTAAGGAGAACGAGTTGGCATCACGCGCGAAAAAGGCAGCCGCACTGAACCGGGCTTAACGCCAACCGTCCGCAGTGAATTACGCATATACCCATCTCTTCCATACTTATGATGAGAAGGTGCAAACATTACAGACGTGGTTATAGCTGGTATCAGTCTTCTGCAGGCTCCTCGCATACATCAACCTTATTTCATTACTTGCGCCAGGAGGTATTTTTTACTCTGAAATTGTTCCTTTTGCAGCGAGAGCGTGGTAGTTAGTGACAAGTGGCGCGCTTACCAACGATGCAGAGCGGACGGATCCCCGGGTCGACTCCCGCCCAGGCTAACCAAGCCTTCTACCCTCCGGGACGGTAAATTGGTACCAGATTCGTCTGAGAGGGTGAAACACTGACTTGTACGTTGGCTGACCCCCGCAAGTCATTGTATAGGCCACATCGCATTCAATAAGCCACTACGATTCTGAATGGAAGTAGAATGCGCGTGCGCGACATCCCCACGCAAGAGATTGATTTATTGATTTAGGCGGAAGCTTTATATCCTTTTTATTATGCTTGTTCCTTAGGTGCCGATGTTGTAACGGCAAAAGCACGCTTAGCACGGTCCGGGGCTCCCGCCAGACTAGCCAAGCCTTCTACCCTGCGGGTGCGGTGGATTGGTACCAAACTCGTCTGGGAGGATAATAGCTCTGACTTATACGTCGGCTAGTCCCGCAAAGTCGATTTTATAAGTAACATCGCAATCCAAAAAAGCCACTAGCAATTCTGAATGGACGAGTGGCTTCATATCCCAAAAAAGTTTTGGTAAAACGGTGAGGGCTCATTCCTATCCATTTGTTTCTCTACATCTCTCTGAGTGTTGAGTTAGGGGGTTGGGAGAGACCACGGCGCAGTCATGTCTGCACTGAGCGAGAATGGTCGCGGTGACTTTGGTTGTCTGTGCTCTGTCAGGCTTGAGCCTTGAGGAGGGAAGGAATGTAGACGCGCCGCCTGCCTCGCCTCCTCCTCTGTCCATGGATCACATTATTGCCTTATATTTGGTCTTCTTGCTGTTATATAGAGCTTCTTTTCTTATTCTGGACTTTATACTGCCAGACCACCTGGCAAGCAAAGAGTTTATCCTCAGACTTTTTTTTTTGGGGTCTTTCTTTAGCGCCCTTCTTCTTTCCATCAGCATTGTCTGTTTCAAGCTCAAAATTGAATCAACGTTATTTCAGCTCAACATCTCGGCGCTTTTATCTGAGATGTTCTCCCTCGTAGCCGCTCATCGTGTGTACCTTGACTCGTCGTTCACTAGCGTTGTGCTATCGGTGATGGTACTCGAGGGTTTTGGCAGATCACTCGATCCTGACCTCGATTTGTTCCAATGTGCTCGACCATATTTACTAAATATGGTTTAAATAAGTTTCTGATATTTTCACTAATAATGCTGAGATCTCAATAACCCTAAATATGCCGATAGGTTACCGTTCGGTTTATATTCTTTTTTTTCAATTTTCCATAGTTTCTATCTCATTCCACATTCTCTGGGCTAGCCAGCAAGCAGCTCATCTTAGGAAGATAGGCTTGCTGTGGGAAAGTAATCTATCCTAAAGTTCCCAGATATGACTGGGAATCACTGACAGTTTAGTTGCTATGCAACTTATGGTTAGGCACTGATTATTGAACTCTATTCACTTAATAGTTGTACTTATTAATAAGTTACTAGAGTTTTATGATCGCAGAAAAGAGTAATAGTATTTATTTATTCCAACCCAGATGTGGAATCTCGACAGTCTTAGACATACTGTAGTTATACTGTAGTTACTGTAGTTACTTGTTAAAATATACAGTAGAGGGAAGTCCAGTCCATTGTAGATGTTCACCAGAGACGGGGGCGGGGGGTAGCATGCGTGCTTGTCGATGCGGGGCTTGAACTGGTAACTTTATCGTTACCAGTGCGCGCGCGACGTTTGCCGAATGCAAGCACGGACCCAGTTGAGGGCAAGCGTTTACCCGCCCCCCCCCTCCTTCCCCCGCTCGACACCAGTTTATCGGGGGGACATGAAAAGTTTTCTGAAAAACTGACTCAGAAGGGAGAGAGTGAATGGGAGATTGTGGATAAGGTGGGAAAGGGGGGAGGTCGCTCCAAGACAGTGAATTTTGTGGTGGGGTCGTATTGACATCTCCTTTTCATCTATTCCAGCGCGAAGTCTGACTACACCTTTCCATATGTGAAGCGATACATTTTCCTCATTGTTTCCACCGCAGTCGACCGCGTCGCAGCCGCACGCGTCATCGTAACCCCGCCCCTGGGATGTCTGCCTGAACTGGTCCTTTCATACTTTTAGCTGTCCGACGCGGCGGTCGTGTGATCAACCTTAGCTTTGAGCATTTCCCGTTTCTCAGAAGTACGTGGTTGTTATATGAGTTGTTTCTACGTCATCAGTCAGTTTCTTTCAGAAGTCACTAGTTTTCGGGTAGTGATTGTTTCTAATTCTTACAGTGTTTACTGTTTACCATTGAGTAGAAGCCTGTATATCCAGCATAAAGTAACTTTTAGAGTGAAGTCTAAACTTTCACAGAGCGGGGTTGACAAGCCCGATTGTGTCGGACCATTTTCTTCTGTTTTTTTTTCGATGTCTCATATAGGTGTCGTTTTGCATGGGTATTTTATTATTGTGTTTTGTAACCGTTGTGATGGTGTTGGTTGGTGTGTAGTGACGATCATGTGTGAATAAAGCATGATTTTTTTGTGTTGTGTGCTTAACTATGATTTGAGCGCAGTTCGGCTTGGGGGGGGGGGTAGACATTTTGCATCTTCGCTGCTTCCTGTGTTCACTGTTTTATCTCTACAAACTTTGACTGGTATCATGGTAACAATTCCTCACAGATCGCCACATGATGGCTTGACGCGTCAATGCAAAGTAGCGCAAGTGCAAAACACTCACAACGTCCCCCCCCCCACGAAACCGAACCGAACGCCTGTTATTTGTTGTGGGATGCTTTTAGTGGTCATTCTGCATGGTTTTGATCTATTATAGAGAATGGGCCATGCAACGACTTCCACGATATTGCGCCGCAGAAACGTGGCTAGCTGATGCAGCTACTTCGACCAGATCCATCCGCAAAACCTTATCGCCTTTACTCCGAAAAGTTTTTGGTTTAAGGGGAGGACGACGGGGACGCGTCGGCGTAATGTCGTTATTGCACGCATGTTAAACATGAGAGTATCCTTTCAGGTCATGCTCGGCCGTGAGAGGAGGGGGGGTCGTATTTGTCGATGGGCTTCGTATCTGGCTTCGACAGAAGTTTTCCGTGTAGCGAGAGAGATATGATCGATAGCTGACTTCCACTCCCTAGATGGTGGCGCCGTCAAAGTCCTATACAAGTACTATGTTCGGTTATTGAAATTAATAGTTGTTCAACGACGACCTTCCTCCACTCATCCCCCCCCTCCTTCTATCTGATTTTAAGGGAGTACGAAAATCTAGGGCAGATCGTTTTAGGACCACGATTTCGATGTTCTACCCTGATTGTGGGAACTAATCTACTATTTTCGAGGACTGATCACGATCAGTTTTGATAAGAAAAACTATAGTATTTAGTTAAAAAATTGCGATGTCGCCTCGGGATCCCTTGTGGTATTACCATACTCCTCTCAAACGAGTCCCAGAGGTCCGACCTGCATCAAAAGTTGAAGGTACTGAATTTCACATGACCGGGCTCTTCATGAAGTCAATTGTTGCTTCATGAAGTCAGTTGTTGAGGGGAATATCTCTCTAGCCGATGGGTAAATTGTTCATGAATGTTCCGCGCTCATATTGCGAATTGTGACAGTAGGTGCTCACACCCTTCAGTGACCTACCATGGATACTCTGTCACAGGATGAGGACGACTCAAGACTTTTCTGGCATCATTCGGGTAGCCACGAAGCTAAGTGACGCGGCTGATGCAGGTGACCTCCTTGTTCTCTTGACTTGAACACGGATTCGCAGCTTGGACAGTTTCTCAAACGGCTTCAACTTTCAGCCCCATTTCCTATTGAAAATGCTGTTGTGGAGTGCAGTGATGTGTTGTCAAGCAGATTATTGTGAGTGATGTGATATTTGGTTTTACTTACAGAGCATAAGAGAGCGGGAACTCTTCCTGAACATCTTTGGAAGGTTGGCTTCTAAGATTCCGCTTTTCGGAGCCTTCTAGACAGGTGTGACAGGCCGAATTCGTTCCCGTTCATCTCTTTAAAAAGCACGCTCTAGCAGCAGCGGAGTTTTTCGGTGCAGTTCTGGTTGGTGGGGGCTTTTACTGGTTCCCATCGAGCACTGCCAATGCCTCCTGTTGAAACCTGTAAATTCCTGTAAAGTATGCAATAGCAGGTGGTTGAACTTTGCAAGAGTCTGCAGGTTTCACCAAGATGGGATGGAACTAGCAAAAGGAACTTAGAGTGCAAAATACCCCTCCCTGACGAACAGCACCAAAGGGTTCATTTCTGTTCATCTGCTATATCAAGGTTCTCAGTCCATTTCAGTGGAAGTGCACTACACTGCGAACTCCGAAGTACTCTCCCTGAATGTCCTTCCATCCTCCACTTCGGCCAGAAGTGAAGCCGAAGCCACCGAAGGAATGGTATGAAGAATTGATGGATAGGGTAAGGGGACAATTAGCCAATAATTCCATAGACGTTTCTGAGTCTCCTCCTTTAAAACTTCGCTAGTATTTGATTCAAAAAAAGTTTCAGGATGAAATCCTTTTATATTTCACGGCTAGTCTCGGTGTACTTCTACCAGGCATTGTATATGTGATATATCATAAAGTGCATAGCATCTACATAAATTAATGCAGTCAGTCTGCGTAGGCTGTTGACTCACTGTATTATCGGCTAATAGTTCGTTTAACCTACGTACAATTTTCTGTCAACAGCATCTGAGTGAAGTTTGTCTAGACTTTCCACCAAATGTCCCGGAGATGGAGTGGGCGTGGCTGCGTAATTCATTTGGACGTAGCGGCGACTGTTCTTCTGTTCCTTCCGTTTCAGGACAGTTGTAGTTATGCCTTGGTCCGGAACAAGATAGGATGGCAGTAGTGCTAAGAGAAATATTTCACATTGAACACATCTCACTATTTCCAAAACAAGTGCTAGGCCACGCCCTCCCCATCTCTGGGATGTGGAGTGTAGCTGTAGGCGTGACAGGGATGAACAATTGCGGGTTCAGGCAGGGATGAAGCCGTCGTGTCCGTAAGAGAACTTGGTGGCATAAAGGGCGAATGTTCCGGGGCGCCGCCTAACCCCTTCCTCTGCTTGAACCGGCAACTGTACACAAATACGTCGCCCGCGACGCCTTCCGTAGACAATTCCTCTCCAGATGCTGGGATTCAAACTGTAGGTCCAACTACAGAAACACGCAATAAATCTCCCAAACTGACTTTACCATTACTTCTTTCTCCTTGTTCCCTTACTGTCTTCTAGCCATAAGAGTCTGCTCACTACGTACGCATAGAAACACGTGCTTGGTGCTTCTTGCCCGTTTTCTCATAGGCTTCGTTTTCAATGTGTTCTATGGGTCTCCTGGAATTTTTAAAGTACAACCTCAACCAGGAAAGTGAAGATGAAGCGGATATGCTTTAAATCCACACCTCAGTGTGGGCTGAATCCAGCTAAGGGTATCCGTCCGGGTCTCTAAACCCAGTAAGCAGCAATGCTGATTCGACCTTGCTGGCACCGCGAAGCCCACATGTGGCATTGCAGGACTATCGTTTTGTGATTATTGTCCACTGGGTCGCTCACTCAGTCCGCTAAAGACTAGTAGGGTTGTATCGGCAGTGCGCAAAGACATTTTCTTGCTTGTGTTTTTGCTTACGCGATTTTTGCACTGTATATCCCCTTAGTCGGCTGATGCACGACCATGCGATTTCTGGTAACTTATCGGACGTGTCTACCACCCTTCGCAACCCATTCCCACCTCCCACCTGTCAAAGGTAAATGAGGTAAATTCTTGGGCTCGTCTAGTAAGATGATTGGTCGATTAGTCGGTTGTGGAAAGAGGTCGTATCGAAGAAGAGAGTTCAGAAGGTCGTACCTCTCCAACCTTCCTCGAGGCCGAGAGTGCTTATAACTCACCCCACATCTGGTCTGGTCTCTTCCACTCTCTGTGTCCGTTGATCCTTTCATTCTTGCCCTTCATCTCCTCTCCGCCACGAACCGTTCACTTTCCTTCGCCGATAGGGCTTAATAATGTGTGTTTGTTGGAGAAAAGGTGTTTTAGAAAAAAGAACAGCAACTGCTTGCTGAAGAAGCCGCCCGCTCGGAAGTTGCTATCGTTTCTATATGTAAGGAAGGCAGTGCTGCTCAGCGATTTGTTACTCACTTGGAATCGACGCTGAAAGCTGAACTAATTCAATCCACCCAAACTGTGGCCAATTGCATCTTTAAATAATAAAGAATTCGCTGTTTTCAAGGTTAGTTTGTTTTGACGTTCGATTTTGATTTGCGTATTTCTGTATTGGTTTGAGTAAACAATGCATAAACCTAATGTTTTGGCAGCCTGACTTCCGAACAATCTTGTCATAAACAACTTTTGAGAAGAGGCGCAGTTTCGGCTTGCGTTTAAAATCATTTATTAGTTTTTACAACATACTCCATTGATCTCAGTTTCAATGATTTTATTGTTGGGGGCATTTCGCTGGCTTCCACCGATCCCTGCCGATGACTCATGTGGAGACCTGCGAATTCTGTGAAGCCATGCAATAGCAGGAGCTTCTTTTACACTTGACGAGAGTGCACAGGTCTCACCGAGTTGAGGCGTGTAAGCTAATATTCACTCGAAAAAGAATCTAGCGAAAGTGAAACATGCCCCTCCCAGAATGAACCGCGCTCTTTTTTCATTTATTTATTTAATGTATTTATGGCACATGCTTAAATGCTGTTCATTTTTTGATGGAAGAAGCAACGAACAAACATACAAAACAACCAAATTGAACATACGAAAGTTATTCGATTTTTCGAACAGTTATTCTTAAAGGCACAGTTCGCGACCGCAAATTGCGGGAAACGGAACTCAAATAGGCACAAAAAAGTGCTAAGTATCTGATTAGCGGAGAAAAGCAGCAGTAAAAGCAGTCCGAAATGTTATAGAGAAAGATAACATAGTGGCTACTAGCTAGTAGCTAGCAGCCGGTGAGGGTCGGCATGGGCCTAAGGGGTGTCCATGGGCCTAAGCCAGGCTTCTAGCGGAGTTCTTGCCGTTTTTCACATTTTGAAAGTAGCGCAGCCTCAAAAATCGCCTTCCGGATCGTCCGACACATTTGAGAGGTCATAGCCTTATTTTTTCGCGGAATGTGCCTTTAAATCCCACCAATTGGTCGAAAAAATCTACTAATTGCTGAAATTATGCCTACAATTATGAATCATAGAACAACCAAAAAATGTTTGGAAGTTCGCCTTCTATACGATTAATCACGAAAATGGTATTATGGTGAAATGGAAGATGTATTCAGGGATTTTGCCTCTTTGTGGTGGAGACGCTAACGGTGGAGCCGCTTTGCCGTCATGTGAATGTTTTCTGGAATGGCTTGAGGATGTTGCAGCGGATACTAAGCAGAAAAAGAAGTCAAATTTTGACGCGTTGAAGTTTGCTATAGTTGGCTTTGGCTCTAGCGAAGATGGAGAGAATAATTTATCGACGCTGAGTAAAACAAAATGGTACCATTTTTTACTTGATTTTTCTTTCACCTTTCTGGTGGCTGGCTTAGTAAGCCTCAGCAGCGGAACAGTTGCATGCAGGAGAAGGGGACCGTCGCATGCTTGTCACAAGAATCTGAACCGAATAATTCCCGGCTGAACCGGACGCGGTCCACAGCGCTGCAAATTACGATTGTCTTCCATACACCCCAAAAATAGGGGATAATTCGTTGGGGATGTAATTTACCTATCCGGTTGTTACTTTCAAGTTCACGCTCTTCCAGTTGATTACAGTACAGTTCCTCTCACGATTACCTTGCAGACATCTACCACTTTTCGCATAATTCTGAAGGTCCAAGAGTCCCCGCAGAATTTCCAACTACGCGAGTGCTCGCATAAGAATCGGTAACGAGAAATCCCTTTCCCAAATGCTGTTTTTCCACAGTGTTTTCCCACTCACTGGCTCAGGTGAAAAAGGCAGAATCACACCGGATCATTCCAAGCGTTGAAATTTCTTTACATCATAGCCGCGGAGATCTGTTATCGGCATCGCGCTCACTACAGCAGCACCGTATCGTCGGCGGGTTCCCAGACTTCGATTAATGTAGGCAAATTCAACATAAACGATTTCCATGGGACATTCCTAGGTTTCTAGCGTCATCCTACAGGTACAGAGCATATCATCGTTGGGATTTCCCCAACAGGAGGGTCCTATTTGCCTTTTCGGTGTTGGGAAAATTTTGTTCTCGCTGTAGAGTTTTCGTGGTTTTCCTGTTTCACATGTGGCTACTATCAACCCCTCCCCTCACCCTCTCCCGGTCCCAGCTCAGGCACGCACATCGTTGTACAGGCGCATTCCCAGGGGGGGGGCCGTGTTTGGTCCGCTGCAGAGGAGAGGGGTCTATTTGGGTTGAGCTATTTAGTATTAGTATTTGGGCCGTATTTCCCTTAGTGAACTTTGTGAGAGAGGTTTTGTGAGTTTCCTTGCTTTTTCCTGTTTCATGTGGCATTAGACCTCCCTCTCCCCTCCCTCTGCTCGACAGCGAAATATCCGGCAAAAATTACGGAAAAATTTTGGGGAAACTTCCTGGGCAAAAAAATGCGTAAGTGTTAAGGAAAATCTGAGAAATGCTAGAGAGAAGGATCGTATTTTTCCCTTTTCTCCCGTTTTACATCTGCTGTATGCTCTCCTTCCCTCCCCCCCTATCCCCTCCTCTCCCCCCCGCCCCTCGACAGCTCCGATGAGGCAGGGGACCAGGGTGGGGGGGGGCGTCGTACGGAGTCCAGCAAAATCCCCAACTAATGATGTGCCCTATCGACAGCTCGATCAGAGGAGGGAAGGAGGGAACGGGGGGAGGGTCGTATCAAAACCAATGGTCCCCAACCAATGATGTGCCTCGCGAAGGTACCATGCTGTACTGTATTACCTGTTACTTTCTTTAAGGTATCACGCACCGTGCTAAAACGTATGAAAATCCTTGGCTCAAAACAAATTATGGAAGTGGCGCTGTTCGACACCACAGAACCTGGTACTATTTACACTTATTGATCGATAACCGATTTTCAATACCTGTGATTCCTCCAGAAGCAACCCTATCTGAGGGGTACGGCAGTCTTATCGAGCGTATTCTACATGCGATCGATAAGAATCTACCAGGAGCCGAAGAAGATTCAGAAACGGAAACCGAATTTACTGATGAGTCAACGGATGAGGAAGAGACGATAAAGGATAAAAAGAGACTTTGATTTGTTTCATGGGGGCCACTATCGATCCTATCGATTTCAATGATTGTTTCTGTGTTTCATTCACTTTGATGTCTTCCTTTCATAATAAACTTGCTCATGTAGCTGGGTTTTTTGCACTCCACAAAGTTACTGGTCGTGCAACGAACTATATAACTGAAAATATGTGTAAATATAGGATATATAAACTAACATATAGATCTGATAAGATACAAATAAACGTAAACAAATAAGTGGTGGGGCGAGGTGTGGCGACAAATGACCCGCCTACCACGCCCTATTCGGGATCGAATCTCCGATCTGCTCGGCTCCCCAGCAGGTCGACCGAACCTTTTTCCCTCCGAAATGTAAGTGAGTATCAGGTTTATTCTTAATCGTGGAACTTTAAACCTTCGGAACAGAAT